GAACTTCCTCGGTCGTATTGGGGGTGGATACTTTTCTGAAATAATTGTGAGGTACATGACATTGCTTCTTACATATTGATGATATTGACTGAACTTTACAATGTTCTTCATTTCAATGAATTTTTTTCTTATACGACCTTGTCCTATTGACAAAACAGGGATTACGCCTACCCAAGACATGCAGCCATGGCTGTTGCCCAAGTTATAATGGCATTTGGGCATTTCTTCTTTGCTATGGGTTGGCCAGGGGCTATGTACATTGGAACTCTTCTGGTCGGGCTCGGTTATGGGGCTCATTGGGCTATTGTGCCAGCTGCTGCTTCTGAATTGTTTGGCTTAAAGAATTTTGGAGCTTTGTACAATTTCCTCACTGTTGCGAACCCAGCTGGTTCATTAGTATTCTCAGGTATTATTGCTAGTAGCATATATGACAGTGAAGCTGCAAAGCAAGCTCAAGAGCGTCATCCCAGCCAATGGAATGGGGCATCTATTTTGTCAAGTTTTCTAGCTGTGGAGGAACCTCTAAAGTGTGAAGGTGCCATATGCTTCTTCTTGACTTCCTTAATACTATGTGGACTCTGCATTATTGCTGCTTGTCTTAGCATGATTCTAGTTTATCGAACCAAGGCTGTATACAATCAGCTTTATGGAAAATCTCGTACATAATCCATCTGTCAAGTGAAGCTTGGATAGAAGTTTGAGTAGTTTGCACAGATACTCTCAACCAGCTTATGGATCCAAGCCTTTCACTGAGGTGACATTGTTAGCCATAACCAGAAAACTTCCTCCTCGATGAGAGCAAGCAACAATGGAGATGGCGCAACTGCCTTTTGTGGTGTTAGAAGCTGTTCCTCGTAATGTGAGATAAATGTTTGATTGCAATTATTGATTGGTGTATATTTTGCATTGTAATTGAAACTTGACATTGTTTTATTCTGGTTGTCAACCATCATTTATTGAATGAGATCTTCCATTTTTTAAACTTTATTTCTGTAGATTATCCTTGCACCAAGTTCTTTTAATGGGTGAAATGCTTTACACTGCACAACGCACAGGTTGTAGTCCAGTGCCATTGACCGCTTGCTATTCTGAAGAAAGTCATGAATCGTGATAGCTGATGGTAATGGCGTCTAGCTAAATACCAGTAGTCTAGGGGTGTATATGGACCGGGTCGGGTCGTTTTTTATTAAAACCAAACCAAACCAAACCAACTATATCGGTTTGGATTGGTTCGGTTTTGTCGGGTTTTTCGGGTTTTTTTGTTACATGAATATTATTTCAATCTTACTTTGTTAAATTTTTTATAAGTAAATATATGTTTAGTAAAAATTGAAAAAATTGACAAACATATGATCTATTAAAATAATTTTATGGGAGAATTTTATTAATAACATATGATAGTTACTTTTTTAGTCGCCTGACAATAATTTTTCGTTGATATATACTTTCAAGGTTAAACTAATTTACTAATTAAACAAAAAAATCAATATGATACCTAATTAATGATATGTTCTATTTAAATTTAGATTGTCGAAATACCACTTCAAATTTGAAAAAAATATAAGAATATAATAAATCTTAACAAATAAACATGGAAGAAAAAAGAGATTAATGAATTTCAGTAACACTTGATAAGAAAATGATCATATACCCATTACTTAAGGTTAATAAAAATGGAGTACTTCGTATTCTATTAAATATTACATCCCATAAGAGTATCCCAAATATTTCTAGAATTTTAGTAAAGAAAATTCTATGTAAAGTCTTAAAAATATATAAAAGTTATATATTTATATGTCGGTTTGGTTCGGGTTTGTTTTAATCAATACCAAACCAAATCTAGTCGGGTTTTTTAATCAGTTTGGTTTGACTTTTCGGTTTGGTGCGGTTTGTACACCCCTAACCAGTACCATGAGATACAAGCAGATTAATAGCATGTTTGGCCAAGCTTTTTTGTGGGCCAAAAGTGCTTTAGACCAAAAAATGAGTTGTTTGGCCAAACTTTTAGAAGGAAAGAAAGTGTTTTTGAGAAGAAGCAGAAGCAGATTTTGAGAAGCAGAAAAATGTAGTTTCTCTCTAAAAGCACTTTTCTGAGAAGCACTTTTGAGAAAAATACACTTAGAAACAGTTTTCAAAAACTTGGCAAAACATTAATTACTGCTCAAAAGTGTTTTTCAAATTAATTAGTCAAACACAAATCGATTCTCACCAAAAGTATTTTTTTTAAAAGCACTTCTCAAAATAAGCAGATTTTAGAAGCTTGGCCAAACATTCTATAACTATGTTCATGCTTGCGGATGATGCAAATTATTGCACCAGGTGCAGGTCAAGATTAAAGTCAGTAACACAGATTGGATTAGGGTATCTTTATGTTAAACCCGTTACTTGTTTCAACTCACTAATTATACCATTCATATGGTTCCACTCAGCTCATATAAGTGTCTGGTATAAGAATTATTGCAAAACTCAAAACACGTGATTTATTTAGCCAGTTACATCAAATATATTGCCAAAAACAAATTATTTCAACTTTTCGCATTTCTAACATGGATTTACAAAGTATCATTTTTTTTTTCCTTTCGTTGAAGGCTAGAACTTGGGCCTCATGAGTTGAACCTGGTGCAGTCCAGTCTTATTTCACCTTGATTACCAGTTTTGACACCAACCCTTCCGAGTTTTCTCATTGCAGTGACAAAAGCTCCATTAAATTCGAAAGCATTATTAGCAAAATCGTTAACAGTGCGTTGAGACGCTTCATCAGTGAAGAGCACCTGATCTGAGGTGAACAAACCCTTTCCTCCAACCAGATTCTTGTAATACTCATTGTCAAACGTTCTCGGAGTCACAGGATCCATGTTTATAGCAATGGAAGGATCTACTTTTTGAGGGCACATTTGCATTAGTTGTTTAGCATATTCGGGATCCAAAGAAGGGTCAACGGGATTGGATGAGGTAAACGAGTAGAGACGGTTTGCAAAACGGTCACAGTGAGAGAAGCCAAGTGTGTGAGCACCAGAAAGAGCTATCATGTCAAATTGGCTGAGATTGTGGTTGGCAAACATAGTTGTAAGTTGATTGAGATTGAAGTGAGGTTCTGGCAATTTTCCAGCAACCCGAGAAGCCTTGGAGATGAGCCCATCGCGACGTCCCAATTCTACATTGTATGCAGGGCCTCCTGCCTGAATGTTTTCACCAAAGGAAATCAGTAAGTCAAGTGACAGTTTACATTTTAAGGTAAATGAAAAGAGAAAATGGTTTCTGTGTCTTTTATTACCAGCACTACAACATCTCTGGTGGCAATGGCTAAAATATCTGCACATGATACTACTCCAGGGCACTGAGCCTCTACTGCTTCTTTTGCCTTTATTACAGTGTCAAAGCCATCTCCTGCAAGGGAAATATTATCTGAAGAATCTTTTTCCGCGTCTCCATTTGGTGAAGCTATGAGAACAGAGGCGTCACATCCCTGAGCAAATATGCAAAAGAGAGAAATCTTGATCACTTGAAACTCTAGTGCTGGACATCCCAAATCTGTTAACATACTGAGATAGTTTTCTCAGCAGCATATCCTATTACAGAATTCGTAAAACTTCCCAATCTTCTTACCTTGAAAGCTAAACCGCCTTAATGAGCTTTATATAATCATCCAAATACAAGATATTACCAATTTTGTGAAGATGAAAGTGTTAAAAATTTTATCTTTGTATTTTGTTCATACTTATCTCAGTTAGAAAAAAACTATGCATTATTGTTAGTATTTCGACTTCCTTGCACCTAGAATCCTGCAAAACCTATTGTTGATAGAAGATACATTTTTGCTTCCCACCAAAACAGGACGACACCGAATATTGGTGGTGGGAGCTATTCAAAGTATAGAATAATTCTCTTGATCTCTTGTATGTTACAATTGAGACGTGCCAATATTTTAATTCTACAAAGAAATTACGACGCTGCAGGAAAAACACTACAATCAAATTGTAGCAGAAGATTAGGCTGTTACCTCAACAAAGCAATCATGGAAAAAGAGACGCAGAGTTGCTGGAATAGTGACAAAAGTCTGGCTGAACTTTGTAGACACAGCCTGCTGAACCATGAATTCCACATTTGGACAAGTAAAACCGTAGAAGTTCTCTACTAGTTGCCCTTCAGCTCCACTCACAATACTTAAGGTTGCCACAATTAACAAATACAAACCCCTCCTTCTCTCCATTTTGAAAATTTGACCCTTTTTTAGTTTCTCTTTTACTTTTCCCTCTCTACCATCCAGTGGCTGTAAAAGCAAAACAAACTTGTGCATATATACTAAAAGTAAAGTAATGAGGAAGGTAGGTGAAGGCTGATTCTTGTAACACTATTTGTTACAGGCCGTTATACTTGTTCCAAGTTCCAAAGGTCTAACATTTATAGTCGTCCTAGTTTCTATTCACTCATACTAAGTGTTTACGTACACCGAACCAATTAACTCATGAAACCTGTCTTTTTTATGCCTTTTAGTCACTGACCATGGTTATTTAATATATATTGTATCACCTCAATCTTTCTCTTAATCGTAGTAAGCTAATGTGGTTTGGTATAAACACGAGTAATTTTTTAATGAGTGTGAGGGTAGAGCTCCGTTTAAAATAAAGCAGCTCACCCTATTAAGTAGCTCCACGTGACTATTTCCGTCTTCATACTTCATATGTATTTCCTTAATTAGCCTCCTTAAGTATAAGTGGTTAATTCTAGTTCTTTTCACTACACTACATTTGTGTTATAAAAAATGTAAATAATTTGCGGATGATCGAACCAGTCAGATCTGACGGCTGAGAGAAAAGGAAATTTCAACTATCGAAACAAATTCTAGTTCTTACTGGAATTTGAGGATTTTATAATTTGTAAGTTGATTATTCTTGCTAATGTCTACGTGTTTTGCGTGTGACGACTGAGTGTTTAAATATGTTTCTTATTGGCAAATTAAAATTCAACCCTGTTGTTTGGTGACATCGAACATGTAGGGTAGTTTCTTTTTTGTTGCCCAATTTGATCTACTCCCAACTAGCAAGTTATTGTGACTTTAAGAAAGTGACACTTTAACTAATCAGATTACAATAATCTGAACGATCCTTATTTGGGAAAGACGATAATCTGAGATAAATTAACACGGAAGATGTATCCAGATCTCAGTGCCCTTTCTTCTCCTTAGATCAAATGTAAAGCATATGCAATTCAAGAATGGCATCTTCAACAGAACATCACACTATGGTGTAGAGCAGTGGCAGAGCTAGAGTTTTAGTTATTGGTTCGGCATAATCTAGTAGCTTTGGCCAAAATCTTGTATATGTATAAACAATTTATCCGGAACAAAATAAGCTATCGTTTTAAAAATTCAAAACTCATAAACTCAAAATTCTGAATTTACCTATAGTGCAGAGTCATACAATTTATCGAACCTCAGGCCATTGACGGTATAAGTTAATTAAACTCTAGGTAAAAAAACTTGTTAATGATAATAGCACGAGCCAAAATGTGACGTGCATCTGCAGCTGGTAAGTAACTTTCTTCATGTCAACTTTGGACACTGTTTCAAAGCAAGGTTTTTCTAAATAAGAAATTGTTTTACGCCTTATGAAGTGTAGCGGGGGCCTGGAAGAGACAAATGTGGGAGCTATTAATTTATCCTCCCGTTGCAATAATATTAAATTAAAAGATGGGGGAAACAGGGGAAGTTTGTATCTATTGACCAAAATATTGAGAACCCAACTGGAATGTGATAATCGGCTTAATGTATGCATATTTTGATATATATCGCCTGACATTTTACTCATGTCTCGACGATTTGAGATGTTTAATATGATTATTTGTACTAAATTTTGGTATTTCTATGTGTAGGAATCACTCGGATGCAATTTGGGACGAAAGGGCGTGAATTGGAGCAAAATCGGGACAAAATCGCAAAAAGGGAAATTTGAGGGCCACATCCAGCGTGGGGCGCTGGCTGTGGAACA